AGATCATAGCTGCGTTCAGAGCCCTGGAGCAGGCTGCCCAGAGAGGCTGTGGAGTCTCCTGCTCTGGAGGGATTCCAAACCCTCCTGGGCACCATCCTGGGCACCCTGCTGTGGGTGAGCTGCTGGAGCAGAGGGGTTAGATGAGATGATCTCCAGAGGTCCCTCCCAACCCCACCCTGCTGGGATTCTGGGACTCCCTGAGGTGTTAGTGCTGAACGTCCCCTCAGGTGAGCATCTCCCAGCACGTTGCAGCCATCATCATCCCGGGATCATTCCCTGGGGCACCCAACGCCCCGTGGAGAGCGATGGGTGCTCAGAGCAGTCGTGGCCCCAGCCTGGAAGCCCCCAGCCGGGCGGGCAGAGGGTCCAACCCCCCGTGTCCCCTCCCCAGGGCTGTGCAGAGAGATGCCCCTTCGGCCCGCGGTGCCGCTTCCTTCACGACGTGGGCGAGTACCTGGCGGTGAAGCCCCCTGACCTGGGGCCCAGCTGTGTCCTCTTCCAGACCTTTGGCAAGTGCCCCTACGGCGTCACTTGCCGCTTCGCCCGGGCCCACCTCGGGGATGGCCACCAGAACATCATCCACCTGGAGCTGGCCCAGCAGTGGGAGGGGAGGTCGCTGGTGAGGAACAACCTCCCCAAGGACCTCCAGCACCAGCTGCGCAAGAGGAAGTTCAGCTTCAGGAGGGCTGAGCAGTATCTCCGTGGCCTGGCCAAGCCCCACGGCCCTGCTGGGAAGGGGGACAAAGCCACGGGGAGATCTGCTGAGGACCAAGAGGTGTCCAGCTGCACAACCCCCCAGGAAGGTCTGGGAGATGGCCTCCGATGTCCAGAGCAGGGAGAAGATCCCAAACCCGATGTCCTGCAGAGTGCTGGCCCCACAGATGGTGAGGTGGCTTCCCCCACAGATGCTGAGGTGGCTTCCCCCAGAGATGCTGAGGTGGCTTCCCCCACAGATGGTCAGGTGGCTTCCCCCACCAGGACAATGGGCCCAGTGACAGATGAAGACGTGATAAAGCTGCGGTCCTGTGAGAAGAAGAAGGTGAGAGTTTGGTCAAGCTGCTGTCCCTCCCGTGCCTGTCAAGGGGTTGAGGTGGTGCTTGGACAGATGCTGAGGTGGCTTCCCCCAGAGATGCTGAGGTGGCTTCCCCCACAGATGGTCAGGTGGCTTCCCCCACCAGGACAATGGGCCCAGTGACAGATGAAGACGTGATAAAGCTGCGGTCCTGTGAGAAGAAGAAGGTGAGAGTTTGGTCAAGCTGCTGTCCCTCCCGTGCCTGTCAAGGGGTTGAGGTGGTGCTTGGGCTGC